GAGTAGAGCTGGTGATATAGCTCTGAAGGAAAGCCCTGGGTTCAATGTGGGGAGCAAGGTGGAAAAAGAAGACAGCAGAGTGAGCTGTGGATGGGTATGTATCCTTGGCTGCAGTAGAAAAGCAGCACCTGGAGGAGGGCCAAGACAGGGCTTTCTGCAGAGCAGGGCCAAAGAGGCAGGTACGCCCGCAGTATCGCCTGGGATAAAGCCACACTCCAGTCAAGGGCGCATGTATGCAAACAACCCTGAAGTCCAGAAAGCCTTCTGCTTCCCTCCTTCGCCTAAAAACAGAAGATTGAAGTTTCATGCCTCAAGAGCTACAAATGTGGAGATTTAGAAAAGGAAATCTTGGGTAAAAATCCTATCAGAATACTGGATTTCATCAAAACTTAGAACTTGAGTTCTTTAGAAGACACTATTAAAAGAATAAAAAGATAGCGAGATGTGGTGGAATATGCCCATAACCCCAGCACTCTGGGAGGTTTAAGCAGGAAGAACACAAGTTTGAGCCCAGCCTGAGCAATTTAGTGAGACTGTCTGAAAAAAAGGTTGGAGGGGTAAAAGGCCTTAGGTTCCATACCCAGCACTGAAGGAGGAGGGAGGGAGACCGAGGGGGGGCAGAGAGAGAGAGAGCAAGAGAGTGCAGAACGTGGGACCTTCCCCAAATACTGATAATCCTTTAGAGAATTCAGAGACTGGCCAAAGGCCAAACTGAAAGCAAATAGTTGGGGCTGGGGTATAGCTCAGTGGTACAGAGCCCGCCTGGGAAGTGCAAGGTCCTGAGTTTGGTTCCTTGTTAAAAAAAAAAAAAAAAGCCAGAAAAAAAGAAAGCAAATAGTTGAGTTCTGCACAAGCTCTTCCAATTGAGACCCAAACTTGCAATGTGGTTCCAAGTTGCCAGAGGAAGACCCTATTCCTAGACGACAGTCTGAAGATGACAATGATTCATCATCATTAAGTACAGCAGCAGTCAGGGCCAGTCTGTCTTTATCCCAGCTTCACTTTGGTGGGGGTGGGGTGGGTGGGGGTGGTGGTGAGGGGTGTCTTAGATGGGTCACATCACCTCTGGATGCACCTTCTTCCTCTTGCATAAATCCCCACCAGATGTCCCAGTCAGAGAAATTTCTACAGGTTTGTTTTTTTCTTTAATGAGTAGCTTGGTGTGACCATAAGTCAGAAATAAGATCCTCAGCTTTACTGAAGGAAAATGAAGTTTATAATATTCTCCTCATATCTATTCAAGAAATACTTGTTGCCTGTCTACGGTAGATCAAACATTTGCTAGGGGTACAATGGTGAACAAGACATGGTGACTTCAAAGATATCAAAATGTGGTTGGGCGTGGCACGTGCCTATAATGCCAGCACTCAGGAGGCTGAGGCATAGAAATTCATTGCCATGTGTTTGAGGCCAGCCTGGGCTACATAGAAAGACCCTGTCTTTTTTTTTTTTTTTTTTTTTTTTGGTACTGGGAATCGAACTCATGACCTTGCACTTGCCAGGCAAGCGCTGTGCCGCTGAGCTAAATCCCCAGCCCCTGAAAGACCCTGTTTAAAAAAAAAAAAAATCAAAGTTTTATGGAAGAGACAAAAAAGTAAAGCAGCAATTACAAGTCAAGGATAAAGTATTTTGACTGGGATTAAAGACAGGAAAAACAGAAAAGGGACATCTGACCTGATCTTGTAGAACCAGGAAAGATTTTGGGGAGCAAGCCTGGTTGAAGACCTGAGGGATGAAGAGGAGCTGGCCAGGAGAGGGGAGAGGGAAGACACTGGGGTGTTGTAAGTGCCTGGAAAGTAGGGAGAATGGGGGATGGGGAGTGGGCTCCGAGTGACGCCCTCACAAGCTCCTTACCCACTGTCTGCTGTGCGCAATGGAAAGCATGAATTTATTTTTCAAATCTAACTATTTATTTATTTTTATGATTGAACCAGTCTCATGCATACTAAGCAAGTGCTCTACCCACTGAGCTATAACCTCAACCCTGGTGCTGGGTATGGAATTTAGGGCACAGAGAGGCTTCTTCATAGAAGAGTAGCATGAAGGTAAAGGGATTTGCCTTTCAGAAAGATCTTCAGAACTACAGCAAGAGAGGAGACTGAAGGGTGTCAAAATAGAGACTCATTAGGAGCTCATTCAGTAAGCAGAATGCGTTCCAGTCACTATCTAAATAATTGCTAGTATTCTGAGTTGTTATCTCATTAATCTTTGCAACTTGATGAGGAAGATATAAAGATATAATTTCTTATTTAAGGGTGGGGAATCCAAGAAACAGGAAAACTAAGTAATTGCCCAAAGTCAAGTAGTAGTAATAGAAGGAAGGAGAGAGGTTTTGAAATATTTGGGAAATGGCATGCACGGGACCATAGGACTTATCACACAACTGATATTCACTACTGGCTCGAGGAGGTGGCTAAAGGAACAGGCATTAAAAATGATATGCAAGTCTGTCCTGGGTAACTAAGCAATGACTGAGTTAAGGAGACAGGAGGAGCAGGAGGGAGTGATGGGAGAAAGGAGCAAGTTGAGTGTGAGGTTGGAGCTTGAGTTGCCACACTAATTCCCATCTGGAACCACTCAGAAGGCAGCTGCAAGGGCTGCTGAAATTCAAAGTGAGGCTTTGGTGCCATTGATCTGAATTTCTGCCAGGAGGAAAGATAAAGTACCACCATCACCTTTGGATAAACCGAAAATGATTCAACTTTAAAAAACAAAGCATTGGGCCAGGGATGTAGCTCAGTGGCGCGGCGACTGCCTCCCAAGCAAGAGACCCTGAGTTCAATTCCCGGTACAAAAACAAACCAAAAACAAACACAAAGCATTTAGGAAAACAATACAATATGACTTCCCTCAAAAGCCTTTTATTTCATTACAGGTTTTTTTTTTTTTCATTACTTTTACCCCCACACACACACACACACAACAGCCTGTTATTTTTTGAGACAGGGTCTTGCTAAATTGCCCCGGGCTGGGCTTGAACTCTTGATCCTCCTGTCTCAAACTCCCAGAGTGCTGGGATTATAGGCTCTACCACCATGGTTCCCTTAAGATGTCTACAGTGTTTTTTTTTTTTTTTTTTTTTGAGACAGGGTCTCCCTTAGGTGGCCCAAGCTGGCCTTGAATTGGAGGCAATCCTCCTGCCTCAGCCTCCCTAAAGCTGGAATTACAGGCCTGCAGCACCACACTCTGCTCCACAGTTCCTTATCTTGAAGCCTCCTATATATAGGTAAGCAGGCTGAACCCTGCTACTCTGTTGCAGAGTTAGGTATCTAACAAAGGCTTGGTAGGAGTCCATCTCCCCCCAGGGAATAAAAATCCCTTTGTAGCCATACCAACCTCTAAAATGCCAAGGAACCTCTTAGCAAATTACCATTTTAGTGCCCTCAGTGGGGGGGGCCTAATGGCCTGGAAATACTGCCCTAACCTATGGCTAGCCTCCCAGAGGACAGTTCACTCAGAAGGAAATTTGTTTTGATAATAATAACAATAGTGAAATATTAACATATCAAATACCCTTTTGGGGGGAGGCTCCTAAACAACACCTTGGGCGAATTAGCATTTTCCTTTAACTTTCTTTCCTAGCAATAAAAAAATGCTGAATACATAGAAAGGAGAAAAAGAGGGGTTTGTTTTTGGTGCTGGAGATTAAACCGAAGGCTGAGTAAACACTGAATTGCTGAGCTACACTCCCAGCCTTTTTAAGTAAGAGAGGGGGCCTCACTGCATTGCCCAGGCAGACTTAACACCCAGTTTAAGCGATTCCCCAGCCCAACCTCCAGAGTAGCTGGAAGTACAGGCCTACACCACTGTGCCCAGCGGAATCAGTTTTAAAATTCTTTTGGATGAAAATCTCTTCTTTTCCAAGATTTGGCTATAGGGTTATCTTTCATATTTGTATTTTCCCCCAATATAAAGATTAAAACAGGGGGCTGGGGATTTAGCTCAGCAGCAAAGCACCTGCCTGGCAAGTGCAAGGTCGTGAGTTCGGTTCCCGGTACCGGAGAAAAACCAAAAACCAAAAAAAAAAAAAAGATTAAAACACTTTTACACATTACCTTGGCTGGATGTCCATTTAAAAATAAATAAAAAGATCTTTGGGCTGGAGATACAGTTCAGTGGTAGAGTACTTGGGTTCAAACCCAGTATTGTAAGGTAAAATAGGAAGGAAGGGAGCGAGGGGCGGGGAGGGAAGGAATCATAAGAGAAAACTACTTGCAAACAATCTCAAAGTTGCCGTCACATTTGAGTAATACATAATCGAAGATACTTTCCTTTGGGGAATGCAATCTTAGCTCTGTAGAAATTATTTTAATGTTCTTAATGCATACCATAAAATAGCTCCTTAAAGCAATGAGGTGGAGGAGACAGTGGTACACACTTGTAATCCCAGTTACTTGGAAAATGTATCTCTTTTTGTTTGTTTGTTTTTTCCTGGTACCAGGAATTGAACTCACGACCTCCCACTTGCCAGGCAGGCGCTGTGCAGCTGAGCTAAATCCCCAACCCCAACCCCAGTTACTTGGAAGGGTGAGGCAGGAGGATCAGAAGACTGTCAGCCTAAGCAACTCAGCAAGACAAGACACAGTTTCAAAATAAGGGATGGAAGTGTTGGGGTGTAGCTTAATGTTAGAGCACTTGCTTAGCATAGGTTCAATTCCCAGTACCACCCCATCCCCCAAAAAGTCAACAAGGCCTTATCTCATTTTTTCTTTTTGGATGTTTTTCTTTTTCCTCCAAAGCTAATGAGTCACCCATACCCAAAGTTTCCATGTTGCTTTTTCCACCAGCATAACCTTCATGGAAAACTTTCCATATTCTTGCATCTTCTCAATATATGGCAATAGCCAAGGGCTCAAGACACAGTACTCCCAAATTCCTATAAGAACATGTACAATATCTGTACAAAAAGCCGGAATGTAAAGACAGGTCCAAATTTAATGAATCTGATGAAAAGCCCTCGTATGAATTGGTGCTGTGATTACTAAAAGAATTCTCAGTTGTTTTGATTTTAAAATAATACTTTTAATTAGAGAATATTGTTAGAATAATACAGATATAGTTAGACGCTAGGATAACTGTGACCAATACCATAAGGAAAACTGCTCTATAGACTTACTTGTTCATTCACTCTCCACAACCATAGGAAACAGGCACAGAGCGTTTGGGATATGTGCAGAAGCAGGGACCGGGGAGCAGTCGGCATGCGAAAACCATTAGCGAAGAGCCCCTGCTGCATGACTTCTACATGAAGCTCAGCAGACCAAATGAGCAGCAATCAGCAGAAAGAGAAGACAGGACTGCTGTGGCTTTTGCCCTTTACACTTCCCAGCCGGAGTGTACATGTATGGAAGGAAGGGGGTGAAGGACTCAGAAATCTCTTCTTAAGCCTTTCCCCTCTAAGAAGCAAAAAAAAAAAAAAAAAAAAACCAACAACAAAAAAAACGCAGCAGCAGGAACAGGCTGAGATGGGGCAGACCAGCAGAGGAAAAGGGGATGAAATATACTCAGGTCACAGAGATGTCTTCTGTTGCCACTCTCAAGCTGACACTTGTAGAGGCTCAGAGAAGCATTAGGAAAACATTGAAATTCATTCCTGAATACCATCAGCAACACTGATACAGAAGACAAATTTGAGTTTAGCTACCGAGAACACGTATGTCACAAAGTAATTCAAATATGAATACCCGAAGTTAGCTAGATTTTATATAGAAAAAAAAACATGCTCCCTGCCCCAAGTTTGTATTTAAATAGGAGTGGCAATATGAGGACACCTCCTTGGAGTTTTTGTTTTGTTTTGTGTCTTTTGAGGTTGTGTCATTTGCAGGTGAGACAGTTTCACCCAGATGTAGGTTACAACAACTCACTATGGGTACACTACCACTGGCTCCTTTACCACCAAATTCCAAAGAGCTATGGAAAAAAAAACAAACCAGTTTTAAAATGTTACAACATTCACAATAAAGCACAGCAGAAATACATTCAAGACACTTTCAAAAGAAAATATAGTCCTTACTTCAGTCTCAGCTCCTCAGCACCTATTCCTTCCCATCCCCACAGGTTTGAATAAACACATTTGGAATATATATTAATTCCTCCTTAAGCAGAGATAAGAAGAACTGACATCATGAGGCTGAGACTGAGTCAGTTATTTTAACCACTTATATTTGTAGGCTGGAAGGGTGGAAATACGCTCCTATTTAGGTTTATTAATTCCTGCTGACCATGCCAATGAGCTCTTCATTGCCATAAAACACAATTCAGTCTGAGAATAGGACAATCAACCTATTTGTCCACTCATTATCATTCACAATTGATGGATGCATACAAACAAGTGCTTTAGTTCTGCACAAAGACAAACCTTACAAGAGAGTGCACACTCAAGCACTAGTGTTTAATTTTTTTCCATAACAAATGGAAAAAAGGGACATTTCTCACATTGGAGTTATGTCTGTTAGTTGTGTCACATGACCCACATCACCCAAGAACATGCTTATTCTTTGTGAATTCAGTTTCTGCTATTAAAAAACCGATACACGTTTCACTGTACATACATGCCCTTACACAAGCTAAGATTAAAAACTGAGATGTGGCCCTATCAAACCCTAGAGTTAGCAGTACAGGGAGGATAAATCTTAAAGATTAGATTGGAACAAACCCAGAAATGACCCATGTCCCATGGGAAAGGACTGTGCTTCCTTCCCCGAAGGTGTCAATTCCACTTGTTCCTTTTACTCCAGTATCATGTATGGTCCTATCTTACCCAGAAGATATTTTCCCTACAATGTTCCCTTCCATTTCATAAACACAATTAATGACAATAAGAGCAAGGGGCATCTCTTGCTAAAGTCACTACCACCGATGGGTCCTTGGTCCTCAAACCCGTGTCCCATTTTTCCTTTCACACTGTATCTTCAGTTAACTTTCACAAAGATGCAAGTTCTACACAAGTAGAAACAAGAGAAGGAGAAAAGTTATAATCATTGCCTTCATCATGCAGAATCCTGCTCTCAGGAAGATGAAAAGATACAAAAGTGTGAGCAACTCAAGGAAAAAGCCCTTTGGAGTAGAAGTGTGTGTGCCCAACTGCTACTGTGTGTGACTAAGTGTGTCAAGCCAGGCCAAGTCTGTTGCCTTTTCCCAAGGCAGCTGGGACCACCCTATTACAGTTCTCTTAACAGAGCTTAGGAGAAAGGCCAAGGCTGGGAGAAATAGATTTACTCCATGTTCAGGCCTAAGCATGAACCAGCATTTGTCCCCTGATCTTCAGATATCCAACTACTTGTGGGGCTGATGTGATGAAGTAATCCATTAATATTGAGTGAACAAAAATATTATTTTGAAGGAGGTGGGTCAGAATTTCAGAAAGATTGTCCTCTTTGATATTTGAAATTGTGACTCACAGCTAGGATAGTCAGTAAAGGAAGCTCCATTATAAGGAAGCTCATTGATTGCAAATAAAACTGTACCTTCAAGTGGATAATTTCTCAGTCATCATAATTATAAGACTTAGTCGGTATGAACTCTCTTATGTTTAATAAGAGCTGAGCTCCGGCTGAAACTCTTCTCGCACTCGGTACATTCATAAGGCTTCTCTCCTGTGTGGACCCTTTGATGTGTGATGAGGTTGGAGCTCTGAGTAAACCCTTTTCCACACTGCACACACTCATAGGGTTTCTCTCCTGTGTGGGTTCTCTGGTGCTTAATTAGATCTGACCTTTCACCAAAGCTTCGCCAACACTCGTTACACTCATAGGGCTTCTCCCCAGTGTGAATTTTCTGGTGTGTGATGAGATGAGAGCTCCGGCTGAAGCTTTTCCCACAAGCATTGCACTCATATGGCTTCTCTCCGGTGTGGGTCCTCTGGTGCTGAACCAAGTGTGAGATGCGGCTGAAGTTCTCCCCACACTCATTACAGTGGTACGGCTTTTCTCCTGTATGGGCTCTGCGGTGTCGCACAAGGTCGGAGTTCTGACTGAAATTCTTCCCACACTCGTCACACTTGTAGGGCCTCTCACCTGTGTGCACTCGGTAGTGTTTGATGAGATCGGACCTCTCGCTAAAGCCTCGGCCGCATTCATTACACTCGTAAGGCTTCTCACCTGTGTGTGTCCTCTGGTGCTGAGCGAGGTGAGAGCTCCGGCTGAAGCTTTTCCCACATTCCTCACACTCATATGGTTTCTCCCCACTGTGGGTCCGTTGGTGCTGAATTAGGTGGGAGAGCCGGCAGAAACTTTTCCCACACTCATTACATTTGTGAGGTTTCTCACCAGTGTGGATTGTCTGGTGCTGGATGAGGTGAGAGCTTCTTCCAAAACTTTTCCCACACTCATTGCAGTCATATGGCCTCTCCCCAGTGTGTGTTCTCTGGTGCTGAATGAGGTGGGAGCTACGACTGAAACCCTTTCCACATTCATAACATTTATAGGGTCTGTCTCCCGTATGGGTTTTCTGGTGTCTGTTGAGGTCTGAGATTTGACTGAAAGCCTTCCCACAGTGAGAGCATATGTGATATTGGATGCCTGTGTGGGCTTCTTTGTGGACAAGCAGATCGGTGACTTGTTGGAGAGGATAGCTTACCCACTCTTCTGCAGTCAAATCTCCCCACTGTCTTTCTGACCTGTCTCCACTTTCAAAGGTCTCTTCACTTTCAGGATTTTCCTCAGCATTTCCACCAGCTCTTTCAGATGTGGTCCCAAATTCTACATCTTCACTAATCTCTGGCTTTGGATTCACTTCATTTTCACTCCTGATTTCAAAATCTATAATAAAGGGTAAATAATAACAATATGGGTGAATATACAAATAAGTTATCTACCAGGTGCCAGGCACCACACTGAGGTTTTCATTCTGTTTTGGTGCTTAGATTGAACCCAGAGCTTTAAGTATGTTAGGCAAACACTCTATCACTCAGCTGCACACCTAACCACACACTAAGATCTTTACATGAATTACTTCATTCACGATCACAGCCATCCTAAGAGTCAGGCATTATGATGACCTTTATTTTATAAATGAGAAATCCATGACTTCAACAAGTAAAGTTGGAATAGCAGTAAATAAATGCTAGAGACAAGGTTCACAACAAGATCTATCTTTAAAAAACTTTGTGCTCTGAATTACTACAGTTAATGGTTCTTTAAAAATATTGTGGGAAAAAAAATAAATAAAATAAAAATATTGTGGGGCTGGGGATTTAGCTCAGCGGCACAGCGCTGCCTGGCAAGCGCAAGGTTGTGAGTTCGATTTCCGGTACCAGAAGAAAAACAAAAACAAAACAAAAAAAAAATAAAAATATTGTATAGGTATAGTGGCACATGCCTGTAATCTCAGCATTCAGGAAGCTAAGGCAGAAGGATTCTGAGTTTGAAGGCAGCCTGGGTTACATAGTGAAACTGTCTCAAAAAACGAAAGAGGTAACTCTTGTTACCCTCCAGTTATCTTGTTTTGAAGTTTTGGTTTTTTCTTTTTCTCTTTAAAATAAAAAAAAGGAAAAAATAGAAAAAATTTTAAAATCCTATGTATTCCTGATGTTTTGAAAGAAGAAAACCAACAGAAACATACAATAAATTAAAATCTAAATTAAAATCTAAAGCCTCTAAATTAAAATCCCTAAAAGCTAAGAGCCTATATATTTTATGTGTGTGTATATATTTTGTTAAACCTGTCAAGCCTCCATTATCATTATATAATATTTACTAAGAACCTACTATGTTGGTATGGAGAAGAACAAATTTTTAGTTATCTGTGTCAAATCTTAGTTGACAGAAAAAGTGATTGCTGGATATCACTTGCTACTTTCCAAGGAAAACGGGTGTGGAGAGGTTGCAGAAGGCAAAAAAGATATTGGCTCAGAACATTCCCTGTGTGTGCATGTGTGCGTTTATGGCACTGGGGATTAAACTCAAACCTCACATATGCTAGGTATGCGCCATACCACTGAGGTATGCTCCCATTCCTGCCTCATATTCTTAGCATTAAGGATACTGCACAGTTTTCAAGTGAAAATCAAAATACACAATCATATCTACAAGGAACTTTCTACCAGACACACCATTTTCCAAACTGAGTTTCTTTGTATACACTTTAGAAAAAAATTTAAGATATTTTGGGAGAAAGGGCCATATATAAATTAATGTGATAAGCAAAACAAATGAAATCCTCTCACTAGAATTCCACAATGCCTGATAATGCATTAAAGGTACTGAGAGCTCTGAGGTAATGAAACCTTGTAAATATTCTTTAACCATCTCCCAAAATTACTTGGGCAAGAAACCAGTTTTTGGTACTTCCATCCTTCTAGCAAATGCTCCTTTGGCTAGATTAGAGAAACGCAAATTTATACTTTTTTAAGATTCTCATTTCTTGATTTGTTGTTGAAGTAAGTAAAAAACTGGGGTTATGACTACAATGGATCTGGGAAGATAACATTACTTATCAAAGGTTTCTTTCCCTTTGTTTCTTTGTTTTTGTTTTAAGACAAGGTCTCACAATGTAGTTCAGGCTGGCTTCTAACTCAACCCTACTGCCTCACCCTCCTGAGTACTGGGATTACACATGCACCAGTACACCTCGTTTATATTTCTTTGTTTTTGTGGTATGGGGTATCAAACCCAGGTGCACTCTGCCACTGACCTCTGTAGCCCCTTTTAAAATTATTATTTTTAGTTTGAGACAGAGCCTCTCTAAGTTGCCATGGCAAGATTCCAACCTGTAGTAGTCCTCCTGCCTCTGCCTCCCTCAGTGCTGGGATTATAGGCATGCACCACCATGGCCAGTTTAATGGTTGCTTTTTTGGGTGGCGGGGGGGAGGAATCGAACTCAAGACCTTTTGCTTGCCAGGCAGGCGCTGTGCTGCTGAGCTATATCCCCAGCCTTATGGTTGCTTTTTTATAGAAAAAAATCATTAGAGAAAGACCAAGTTAAGAAGAAAACCCCTTGGGGCTGGGGATTTAGCTCAGCTCTCAGCAGCACAGTGCCTGCCTGCCAAGTGCAAGTACCGGAAAACAAAAACAAAAACAAAAAAAACAAACAAAAAAAGAAAACCCCTCAAGTGGGACTAAAGATTTCGGGAAATAGGTTAATGATTTTTTTCATCTGTTTTTGTTTTTGTTTTCCTTCCGGTACCGGGAATCGAACTCACGACCTTGCACTTGCCAGTCAGGCGCTGTGCCGCTGAGCTAAATCCCCAGCCCCGAAAATAGATTAATGAATGACAGACGATGTGGGGAGCCATACACACTTGCTAATTTTGTCAAGTCCTAACAGGAAATAAAGTGAGTCCTAAAAGACTTCATTTTAAGACTGCACTGTTTATTCTAGTTACACCCAGACCAAAGGACAGCTAGGAAATAAGACAATTTGCAGGCCATGGGAAAAAAAGAAAAAAAAAAACAGCCTCTCTAACAGAATTTGTGATGTCATTATTTCAGGGTTCTCCTGGAACAACATGTGACACACTTGCCATCTATGATAACCTTTGAAACATCTCTAGACAAAAACCTCCTCAGAGAAAGGGTCTGAGGCAAGGGTAGGATCTGAAGCCAAAACAAACACAAGAGGGTGGCTTCTGCCCTCCTGTGAACCTAAGTCAGACCCCCTCATTTTCTAGTGCCCTAGAGTGAAAGCATCATTTACAGGGGCATTTATATCCTGGCAAACACCATTATGTCAGACCAGTTTGGTCAGTGATCTGTACAAACAGGCTGGAGAATGGCAAATGACTCAGGGCACAAGAAATTGGAATGTTTCTAAAACGCACAGAAGCATTTTTTTCTTTTCAGACAATATGACCTAGATGTTTCCATATGCAAAGATTTGCCTAAGCATTGAAATCAAGCCAATATCCAATTAAGTGCTTTAAAAATCTAACAACTAGGCTGTGTTGAAAGTACTAAACCAAAAAAAAGTACTAAACCATTTTGACAGTTTCGAAATTGTGTGTGTATGTAGGAAGGTAGAATCCTTACTTACCTAATGAGACAACATTTCCATAATTCTCCTGCATAACATCTCGGTAGAGGTCCCTCTGTGTAGGATCCAGAGGTCTCCATTCTTCCCGGGTGAGGTACATGGCCATATCTTCAAATGTCACAGGTGCCTGAAATCACACAATGCTTCCTCACTACTCCGTATCTAAGTTGTTAGTACCAGTTTTTCTTCTTGAGATTACAGACATGGTTAGAAACGTTGAGGAGGCAAAGGCATTAAGTCTGATCTGTAGAGTCCAAAAAAAGAAATAGAAAAGAACAAAAAAGAGGACATGTAAAAAACGAAAACAACACAACTGACTGCTCTGCTCTAGTCCCAAGACCAGATATCCCTGCCCCCACTTAAGGAACCTCATACTCTGTCCCGCAGGTCATCTAACATTTACATCACTCCATACCTATACGTACAGTGTTCCTCTTTTCTTGGACTACCTTTCTCAGACTAGCGCTTTATGGTCCTACTCTAGTGCTAAGTAGAGTGTTCTTTGGCGACCCCACCCCTCTGCTCCTCTCCACTCCTCCCTTGGACACCCCAGAGAGAATTAGTCACTCCCACTTCTTGATTCCCACATCATAGCACTTCGTTGCTACAGCAAATAGCGCACTTCTCGCATCGTATCACGGTTAACCCGATGAGTCTTTCTCCCTACAGATCGTGAGCAGGTGGGCAGCACCCGTCTTGTCTTTTATCTCCCCCGCATTTAAAGGCATACAGCAGGTGGTCAACATATGCTTGCTGTGGCTATACTGGCCAGGTATTACAGCCTTGGAGGCAGAATACAGAAGCAAGCGAGTTACTAATCCCAGGGAGTTTCCCACAGGGGTATGCAGAATAGAGAAACGCCTGACCAGACGGATAAGCAGAGGCGAGGTCCGAGAAGCCACCCCGGCTTACCTGAGACCCAGCCATGAGCAGGGTGGCTGCCATCTCGGGCTCAAGGGTTCGCCTCCCGGGAGAGCAGGAAAAGCAGCAAGAAGGCAGTGCTGAAGGAGGCGAAAAGCAGGGCGTGAGGCACGGGAAACAGGCCCTGCCCACTCCCCAGGGCAGGAGTTCTGGCCGCAAGGCGGGCGGGGAGGGCCCTGCAGTGGGGCCAGATCACTCTCCCAGCTGAACCCCAAAGTATGACCGCCTCTCTGGGTCTCCGCAACCATTGAGGGGAGGCAATGCCAGAACCGACTAGGACAGGTCCCTAGCTGAATGCCTCCGGGGCCGGGGGTCAGCCCGATGCTGTCTCAGGGAGGAGGCTCTCAGCCCAGCCCACAGAACGCCTCTGCTCTTCCATCTCGAGGCTGACTCCTTTCCGGCAGCTGCACCAGCCAATCAGCTTGCTAAACTCGCGCAACACTGTAGCAATCAGATGCCAAGCACTCGGCCCGCCTCCTCCAGCGTGTCCGGCCACTCCTACTACGCCTGCGCCTGTCCGCTGGCTTGCTGGGAATTGGAGTTCCACTCCCGCGTACAAAGGGCAGTCAGAGGCCAGGGCGAGGAGGGAAAAGAACAAAAGGGTGAAGGAGGAAGCCCGTCCTCCTAGCCAAGGCGGAGGATCTCCCGCTTTTTTTTCCTCTTGGAGACCACAGCCCGATTAAGCTAGGGAGGTGGCCCTACTTTTCCTCGCGTTCCTACAAAGCTTCTCTTGAGTCAGATCTTATTATCCGTGATGTCAGACTTAATTTAGGTGCTGACCAGTGCAGAGATTCGCCGCGATTAGCTCTCATTTGACAGCCCAGGCCAAAGGAGAAAGCAGCAGCCGCCCACTCCCGCGGGGAGTAAGCCGCTGCGCTTCAACTTTGGGTCCCGCCCACGCACTACACCTCCCAACCCCGCCTCGGGCGCTCGCGTTCGGCTCACGGACTACAGCTCCCAGGGGCGCCCGCGGCACTTGCAGTCTGCAGGCCGACTACAACTCCCAGCAAGCCCCGCGCCCCCCGTCCTGTATTTGAGTGTGGTCCGCGCCCGACCCAGCTTGTCCGAGCTTGGTCTCTGTTAACCCTGTAGGGGTATCCGATCACGTCTAAGGATAGTTCCCCTTGAAAGGGGGCTGAATTGCGCCCCTCCGAGGAACGAAACATTGAAGTAAATCAGAAGCGCGGGTGCGGGTAGAGCGTGTAAGGAGATGGCCAGACCCCAAGGCTGGCGGTCCTTACCATCCCTGAGGGCCTGTCTGCCCAAAGGGTTCCTGGAAGCCTCCTGCACGGAAGGGACGTAGGGCCTGTAAGGTCCCGGGCCGGGCGAGTCCTCAGGATATGAGCAGTCTTTTGTGAAAGTTGGAAGCCAAAAAACCCGAACTGTGGACAAACAGACTTACCTCCTGACCAGCAAAAGATCCACTATATGGCCGGCTGCAAGATCCAAGAGGCCTCAGACTGATCCTCAAACCGCAGATAGTTCTCTCAGACCTCTGATATTCAGAGAGATTCTAGAGATCACTGGACCCGGAGATCTCAGTCCCGCAGGTATATCTGGAATCCGCAGAGTTGCAGGCAAAGCCCAGAAATCGTAGGCTGATCCCAAAGACCTTAGACTCTCAGAGCGCTCAGAGAAACCACAGGCTCAGAGGCAGATCCCACAGCAGCTGGCTTTAAAAACACCACCAGCGGCTGAGCTGTATTCATCTGGAGTTCCGCGGAACGGAAGAACTTGCAGCCTTCCCTTTCCCCAGCCAGGATGAGGGAATTAGACAATGGAAGTCGAGCACTAGGCAAAGCAGGCATTCTGCGTGGGGGAAGAGCTTTGAGCTCGCTGTAGTCTTGGAGAGGGAAGTGATGGAAAAAGAATATAGCAGCTTAATGGGGACTCCCACCCTCTTCAAGTTATAAATATCCCCAGAACCTTGGCTACTTGCCCAGAAGCCTGTTGTCTCCAACTGTACAGGAGACTTCTCTGCCTAGGCTGAGAAAGGGGCTTTTCTTTTGTTTTGCAGATACATCCACCCACTGAAGGGCTTGGATTTTTTTTTTTCCAAACATGATTCCTGGCTATGCTTTTATTAGTAAGGGTCCTGTTCCCAGTGCCCAGTTATTTATGCTTAAATTACTCGTGTCTAAAAAGAACTAGTGGAACCCTAGCCCGCATAATGCAGAGAGATATTCAGCCCCAAAGTGGGGCTAGGAATTCTTTAGATGCCGCAGAATTGTATTTCTGACCACATCTAACGTTGATCTGGGCACCGCTTAAGTTAGAATCCTTAAAGAGTTCCCAAGAGGCAGTATCCTTAGTGGGAAGAGTAAGCATCAAAGTTAGACAGACCTGGGGTAGAACCCAGGCTGTGTATCCTTCAGAAAGCCATTGAATCGCTCCCAAGTCCGTTTCCTTGTCTGTAGAATGGGAATAGTTATACCTAAGTATGGTATGGGGATTAAGTGAGATGATGTAAAACACTCCTCCCCAAGTGAGCACTCAGGTGATAGCTGTTATTAATCCTGCCTTTGGTGAAAAGGGAGATTGTCAGCAAGGCTTATGGATATATTCAGTGGCCCTGAAAATCTTGAGAAGTTAGAGTGGCTCAATAGCTGTGCAGATCTGGGGGTGACCTTATCCTCACACGTTGTTTCTGCTGGAAATTCAAACAGAACTGGTAGTTGGGCAAATTTGGTGGGGCTCAAGTGAACGCCATTGAGCAGAGGTTCTTGGGGCTGCCCACCAAATACTAGCAAGTTTGAGACCTCCCACTCGGGGAAATCACTGGATCGGGAATCAGTGGCTAGCTCCTAGGAACGAGGTGGGGGCAGGAATCCATTCAGACTAGGCCTTCGGAATTGCAGGTTTCTAACCGGGTCTAAGGTGATAGGGTGGCCTTGAGTGCCTCAGCCCAGCGGGACCCTCTTTTCATCCCTTCTGCTGCAGATTGCTTTGTAAACTTTCTTCTGCCTTCCCCAGACCACCCCCCCACCCCACCCCACCCCCCCGCTCCAGTCCTTTAAGTCCTTCTTTGTCCTCTCCCTGTTTCGTTTATTCCTCGGGACTGCCTGGGGAAGGAAGGCTCTCCAAGACCAGCTTGGCTACTTGCCCCCTTGTGAGTAAGTACTTTTTCTTTCCTCACCTGGGACCCTCCGGCGGGTGGAGGAGAAGCCAGACCGCCAGCGGATGGAAAGCATGACTGCATTTAGAGCCCTGAGTGGGAGTAGGGAGAGGGAGAGGAAAGACAGTGGCTGAGGGGCTTCCGGTTGCAGCTTTCGGCTGGACTCCGAGGGTTGGGGTCACTGGAGGAGGAGGAGGAGGAGGCTTCCTGCCTCATTGTTCAGGACTTCAGGGTTTCTCAGGAATATTTACTGCGTGTGGGTTTTCAATAACTACTCAGAAAACTGTATTTGTTCCCATCATTCAGCAAATGCCGAGGGCCTACTGCGTGCAGGGGCGGCAGTACAGCCCGTCACTGGGGAAAAGGGCCAGAGAACCGTTTGGCTAGGATCTCCAATTTAGGCCTCCAACATTACCTCCAAAGGAGGGTTTACACTGTGTCAGATCCACTCTCTGATTTGATCAAAAGCCCTCCTTTGACATCTTTAAACTTGTGCCCAAGGACCAGACCATTGTGCCCATGGAATACTGTAAATGATTGTTTTTTGTTTTTTGGTTTTTTTTTTTTTGTCTTTTTGAGACAGGGCCTTGCTATGCAGTTCAGGTTGGCCTTGAGCTCACTTTGTAGCCCGGCTGGCCTCAAACTCTCAACGATCCTCCTACCTCAGCCTCCCAAGTGCTGGGATTACTGGCGTGCGCCACCACGCCCGGCCTGATTGTATTTTAATAAATCTCATAGTTATAAAAAAAACCTCATAGTTATCTTGTGAGCAGCATAATAGTGTTGTCAGTTTTTAGTAACAGAAGTGCTAAATGGTTAAAACATTAAAAATTTTACCCCACTGTTTGTTGTGTCTTTATTTTCAAAGACAGGGAACGTTAAAAAGTCACAGTAGCCTGGGCTTGCCTTGACTCCTGCCAGGAAGAGTGATGAAAGCTCATCGCTGCACAAGGACCTGGGGACAAGGGGACACCCTGACTTGCACAGTCGCTACACAGTGCTTTCCTGAGGGGCGAGCTAGCCTGCACCCAGGAAGCAGGGGACTCCTAGCTGGGAAGGAGGCATCCCATAGGAGGTCACATCTTCTGGAGGTGGAGAAGGTAGGAAGGAAAGTTCCATCTTCAAGAACATTATGTGTAGTCAAACAAGGTGGCACACACCTATAGTTTCAACCCTCCGGGGGGCTGAGGCAGGAGGCTTATAAGTTTGAGCCCAGTCTGGGTAATTTAGAGACTTAGCAAGACTACCTCAACATTAAAAAAAAAAAAAAAAAAATTAAGGGTTGGGACTGTAGCTCAATGGAAAGGGGCCCTGGGTTCAATACCTAGTACTGAAAAGAAAGAGGAGAGGGAGGGAGGGAACAGGAGAGGAGAAAAGACAAAGAAAAAGAGCACATGGAAAGGTACAGGGATGTGAAAGGCTACAGCATGATGTCCCAGAATGGCTGGGCCTGGTTACGGCTCGAGGGAAGCGTGTTGTGCAGACCAGCTAGACACTGGTCGGGGAAAGAGCACATTGACTCTGCAGGCGGTGGAGTGTAGAGGACTGGGAAGCCTGGCTCATGTGTTTCTGCTGGTCTTCCCCAAAGAGAATATTTTCCAAAGCTCTGTAGAGCCAGGCATGTTGACTCCGGCCTGTAATCCCAGCTACTTGGGAGGCTGAGACAGGAAGATCACAATTTCGAGGCAGCCTGAGCAATTTAACAAGACCCCGTGCCAAGATGTTCAAAATAATAAAAAATAAATAAAAAGGGCTGGGATGTAGCTCAATGGTAGAGTGCTCGCCTAGCATTCACGAGGCCCTGGGTTCTGTCCCCAGCACTGCCAGGAAGGAAAAAAAAAGACAATTGCAATAAAAATGTACAACAAACTTACACTGTACCAGACACTGAGCTGGGAAATCAGACACCACCCCTCATTCTGACAGCAGGGTTACTGAGGATTAAATATGAGCCAGCACAGAGGAGGGCCTTGGCACGTGGTCACTGTTCCTATGGGAGAGGTAAAACACATCACAGATGCTCTTCAAGGTAAGGCTGTATATCAGACTGACTCAGAACATGACTGGGGGCTTGGGTTCAAATCCAGACTCTCTCTGGCGATCCTCAGCTTATAAGGAGCACCTACAATAACAGAGAAGCGGGCAAAGGCAAGAGGATCACAAATTCAAGGCCAGCCTGGCAAACTTAGTGAGCTCCTGTTGCAAAAAAAGTGCTCGTGGTGTGGCTCAGGGGTGTGTCTGGTGCTTGGATAGCATGTGTGAGGTTCAAGGTTCAATCCCCAATACCAGACCACACACAATAAAAGAGTCTAATAATGCAAACTCAGACAGACAGAACAGTGGTTTCCAGGGGGAGAGGGAAACGAGGAGATGCCAAATAGATTCAGTTTTGTAAGATGAAAAAAAGTACTGGAGATTGGTTGCATAACAGTGTGAATCTACATAACCTGGATGTACCTTACTATAAACTGTACACTTAAAAATGGGTAAGGGATGGGGTGTATCGCAGTGGTACAGTGCTTGCCTAATACGCACAGGGGCCTGGGTCCGAATCCCAGCAACACACACACACACACACACACACACACACACACGCCAAGGGTAAGATGGTTTATGTTATGTATATTTTACCACAACTTTAAAAAGGAGTATGATAGCCAGGCATGGTGGTGCATGCTTGCAATCCCAGCACTTGGGAGGCTGAGGCAGGAGGATCGTTGTGAGTTCAAGACCAGCCTGGGCTATAAAGTGAGCTCAAGGCCAGCCTGAACTGTATAACAAGACCCTATCTCCAAAAGACACACACAAAAAAAGAATATGGTAAACCAGACATGGTGGTTCACGCCTATAATGTCAGTACTCAGAAGGCTAAGGCAGGAAAATCTCAATATAGCAAGACCCAGCCTCAAAATAAAAGGGCTGGGGGATGTTGCTCAGTGTGAAGGCTCTGGGTTCATCCCCAGCACCAGAAAAACAAAGCAAAAAGGGTATAATAATTACGTAGTTCATGGGCCAGAGGGTTAGTCAAGGTAATGTGATGTGCTCCCTCGGCCCCTACTAACGACAACAGCTAACGTCTACCAAGCAGCGCTGTGTGTGAAGGAGCACTCTAAGTGCTTTCCTTTTTCTTTCCTTTTTTTGTGGGTGGGGTGGGAAGTGTAGGGTAGGGAGGTGGGACGGGTTGGACTCTTGCTAAATTGCCCGGCTGGCCTTCAACTCACCATTTTCTCTCCTCGGCCTCCTGAGTAGCTGCGATTCCAGGCGTGCGCCACCATGCTTGGCTTATGCGCTTTCCTTGTACTAACTGGTGAACCCTTGCAACCACCTTTTGCACCAGGAGTTATTATTACCACTATTTTGTGTACTTTACAGGTGAGAAACAGGAAGCAGGGAGAAGTTATGTAGTGCACTCAGATACCCAGCTAGATAATGCTCAGTGGTTAATACTGGTGGATAAAGAGGGGTTCAAGGAATCATCATCACGATGGAAGACTCCAGTGAGAGCCTGGAGGCAGAAGTGCGTGGTGAGAGTGTCACAGCGCTGCGGAAGCTCTCAGGACCTCACGTGGCCTGGGATCTGAGACTTCATAGATGCGCATCTGAGCGAGCCTTGAAAAGTGGGGGAAAGTGGAACCAGGGTGGGGAGGAGGAAGCAGGATGGACAGCTATAACTGGGCAGGTTCAGTGAGTATCCAAGAATAAGCATACAAGTCTCTGAGGCTGAGAACCAAGGGCAGCAGAGGTGGAAGCCGAGCCACCAAAGATGGGCAGAGGGTGAGCATCTCTGTATGAGCCAAGGAAGTGAAGGCTTCCAGGCCCCTGGAAAATAAAACAGAGGGCAAGGCTGACAGAAGGGATCTGGGCGGGTCAGACCGAGGAATTTGAATTTGACAGCTAATGGACAGGTGCTGAAGATGACTAGGGTAAGGGTGCTAGAAGCCACGGAGGGCTACGTGCAGGTGGGAAGGGTGGGGAGGGGCTGAGCTGGAGCCCACTGGAAGGGCTCTGCATCAAAATTAGAAAGACAACCTGAAAGGCCTTGTTGGTGGTGAGGGCAATGGAGGGAGGGACCTGGCGCAGAAGAGACAGGACCGGTGACTGACAAGAAGGGTCACAGAGGCATCCAGAGAACAACTGATAGGCAGACATGGAAAGACAGCACGGGGGATTTAGGACGGAGAGGATGCGAGTTCGGGTCCAGATGACTTGCATAGAGAGGGCCAGCAGGGTCCCTGGGAGGAGATATCCCACTAGGCACTTGGTGAGAAAGGACGGCCAGGCCACCGTGTTCTCTCACACTGTAGGGTGCGCTTCTTTTCCTACTTCTATTTGGCCCAAACTCCCTCTGCAGAGCCTGTTTCTTTTCCTTCCTTTGATAAAACTTTGCCACCACTTGTGCTTGTCTTGACCAATTCTTTGCTCAGGACAGAAAGAACCTAGAAACCACCTCCAGAAGGAGACTGTAGCACCCCAAAGCCCCAGTATAAAAGGGAAAGAAACTGTACCCTACTAAAAAGACACTTAAATGTTTTTAAATTTACATGAAATTCATTCTTTGGCCAAAATTTTTTTGGTTGTTGTTGTTTTGAGACAGGGTCTTGCCATGTAGAAGAGGATGGCCTTGAATTCACTATGTAACCCAGGCTGGCCTTGAACTTGTGGTGATCCGCCTGCCTCAGCCTCCCTAGTGCTGGGATTACAGGCGTGCACCACCACACTTAGCTGGCAAATAGTTCTTGGAAAAAGAAGGAGAAGGAGAAGGAAAAGGAAGCGGGGAAAGAGAAGGGGAAGGAGAAGAAGAAGAAGAAAAAGAAAAAGGACCAGCCAGGTATGGTGACACATGCCTGTAATCCCTGCACTTTGCTGAAGCTGAGGCAGGATTAGAAGTGTGATAGCAAGACTTGTGTTAGCAAGACTCTGTCTCAAAATAAAAAATAAAAAAAAGCTGGGGATATGGCTCAGTGCAAAGGCTCTGGATTTTATCTCTGGTATAAACAAACAAACAAATACAACGAGGGCTCACAACAGAGATCTGGCCGTGTGGGAGAGATTACTAAAATTTCCATACTGTATTTTCATCCCTGTAACCTTTTGAAAATATCTTCTAACTTAGTCATGGGATCCTGAATAGACTTTTGTTTTCAAGGCCCTCTGGCCAGAACCTCCCTGTGGGACCTGCCCTCCCCCATCCCACACACTTTGCTTCTGTTTCACCTCACCTAACCTTGTCCTTTTCTTCCTGAAGGGGACAATCTCCTCTCCTTTCCCCGGGTGGCAGAGGTCATTGCTAACCCCCATGTAGCTCGCCTCTTCCTGGAGCTGGGGAAGATCGGGTTAAGCCACCGTCCAGGTCATAACACAGGGAGGAGGCGCACAGCAGGCCACGAAGATCAGAGCGCGGCCAGCCTGGCAGCAGCAGAGTGCGGGGGTGAGGCGGAGGCCAGCTCCACAGGCTCCCAGGCCCTGCGGACAGCAGCGGGGAACACGGGCTTGTAAATGCCAGGGGTAGAGCAGGGGATGATCAGATCTGCAGTTCTGAAAAGCTGATTCCAATCTGTAGCCACCACAGAGGGGCGACCAGGTGGACACAGGAAGACCCTTTGGGAGGGTGTTGACACCTGTCCATGCACACAATCTGTTGCCTTATTCATGCTTTTCCGTGTCCTTTTGTGAATGTAGATTTGTACCTTAGATAGATGTGTGGGCTCAAGCTGACTTGATCTCTTGCTGTTTAATCTGACTGATCTCCTTTGTAAACAGTAAGGTTATTGAGGGTAAAGGATTTTTTTCCCCTTCTGCTCTAAATCCCTATGACACGGAACACAAGGGATGTTTAGAACATGACTATGTGTCACCTTTAAAAGTTTACCCCAGAGGCTGGGCATGGTGGTGCACGCCTGTAATCCCAGCACTCAGGAGGCTGAGGCAGGAGGATTGTTGGGAGTTCGAGACCAGCCTGGGCTACAAAGTGAGCTGAAGTCCAGTCTGAACTGCATAGCGAGACCCTGTCTCAAAAAGACCAAAAAAAAAAAAAAAAAGAGTTCACCCCAAAGTAGCCTTTATTAGCATTATTTTTGTTTGTTTGTTTTTGAGATGAGGTCTAGCTATGTAGTTTGGGCTAGGCTTGAACTCGCTATGTAGCCCAAACTGGCCTCAAACCTTCAGTGATCTACGTGCCTCAGCCTCTCAAGTGCTGGGTGCATATGCCACCCCACCCCCTTTATTGACATTCTTAAATTAATAATGGTTGCTGTTTTGCTCTGCTTTTGCTGTCTAACTAAACCTTGGATGAAGGCTTAGATAATGCAGTGAAAAATCTAGATGTCCAAGCTCTTCCTGTTCAGTGTGGTCCGTGGAGCACCAGCAGCATTGGTGTCACCTAGAAACTTGTTAGAAAGGAAAACCTCAGCCCCACCCCAGGCCCAGTGAGTCAGAATCTGCACTTCAGCACCATCCCCCAGGGGCTCGCCGCCCCATTAAAGGTGAAGGAACACCTGGGTTTCTAAGCAGCTTCCCTCTGCACCTCTGCAGGAACATGCACACCTCGGAGATGGCCTCCCATCCCAGCTGGCACTGGAGTCTGTACCTACCGTTCCTCTCCCTGCCAGGCCGGAAATTCCTGGAAGGCAGGGACTGAACCCTATGCATGGCTCTGGATCTCTCCCAGTGTAATCAGGCTCCTCAACAAGAAGCAGAAGCCCTGGGTTTCCATCCTGTTTGGGCCTCAGGAGCTGCAGGTGTTGGGCCGTCCCTGAGGGACTCTCCAGCCTTTCCACAGCGGCCCCCCAGGCTACCCATTGAAAAGCTGAAGATGGTGGCGGTTTCTGCCCACAGGCTGTTTCTGGCTTTCTATTCGGGAGACAGGCACGTGACAGACGCAAGGGAGGAGACGTAAGCAGGTCCAGAGGGGATGATGCCCGGTGGGGAGAAGGAACTTGGGCTGTTGTTACCCCAACAGATCACCCTGTGTGCGAACCAAGGCCGATGGAAACCCAGTGACCTCTG